GAGTAGAAATACAGTGCACTTTTTAGCGACTGAAGATCCATCATGTTAATGTACTTTGGGAATAAACAGCCTTGGATCATTACAGCCAATAAAATATATGCACTGATCGCACTGTGTCCCGAAGGAGACAGAATTTAAATCATGTTTTACGGCTTTGTTGCCTATGTCTGTCTCCTGGGAGTTTCAGAGGATTTTCCTCTCCTCTCGGCCTCTTCATATGAAGATGTCTAATTGAAGGCTGAGCACAAAACAAATGACTACATTAGGCCGCTGTCCCGTTTAGCTTGTCTTTCTTCCCTGTTCTCATTTAAATTATAGTGCACGCCACGAACAAACACTGAGCACATGTTTTTGAAGCAGCCCACCCAACCTGAACTATCCAGAACTAAAGGTGGTCGCACTGTTACAAATAGAAACAAGTTGTATCACATGTATATCACATTTGTATGACTCTTAAATGACTGAATATTATATAATGTATATACCATTTGAATCTGTCAAATAATAAAGTCTTCATACATTACAAAAGTTATGGCCCAATGTACAACTTGACTGCAAGGTGATATCCCTGAATACCGTAAAACAAATCTTGAGTGCTCTGACTTTTAATCCCCACCCTCTGGCAAAATTGCAAACCACAACTTTTGAAATAGAAATATAATTTAATTATGTTCACTGCGGTTCGGAAAATGCCCAGTATATGATTGCATTCCATAGACTTTTTGCAAACTTAAAATATGCATTTTTGGACTTAAAACTCTGAAATGATAGTATTTTGTTTTTCTTCTATTTCCCTTCTGTAGGTGAACACTCATGAAACTCTAAGCACTGTGAAATTGATGCAATTGAAAGAATGACAAGAAGGCGTCTGGGTTAGGGTTATAATAAAATTCTTTGTGAGTTTTGTGTGCTGGCAACAACATACCTGCCACGAGACTGTCAACGAAAGCCAAGAACAGGTCAAATATTCAAAGCATTGTTCAATACTACAAATCCACTGTTATTTTATCTAGTAATGTTTACAGTTGATGGGTCTTTATTGCAATGCTATATTTTTGGCGACACAATATGCTTTTGCTTTTTTAATGCTATTGTGAAAACTTTCACAAAAGCCAAATTGGCCCACAATCACTCAGCAGCATATAGTAGCTTTAATTCAGCGTCACTGAATATTCCTTGATTAAAAGTCAAACACTTTATCGGCATTTCTTTCATGGAAACATTTTGGATGGCTGTGTTGCAGCTTCAACTATTGAAAATTGTGTGGAATTTGTTACATGCCAAAATGTTTAAAGCAGTGAATCAGAACTATTTCAGTAATTGATGATCTATTGTAATGTTTGTATGACATGTATGAGAACAGTTATCCAGTAACTTAAAACCTGACACCAATACTTTAACAAATGAGAGTGATAACTACACTGTTCCCCCTAAATAACAAATATAGAAGCAAACCTGATCAACCCCATATACACATTTTAACATACTCAAACGTTGACATGCACAAAACAATGCAAAAGCCATTATGTCAGAGTACAAGCAGAGCAGACTGCCCTTCCCGGCATTACATAATTTCAGCAGGACATATAACACTCGGTTTGACAGAGGAATGAGCTGAGAAACTGCTGCCATTTGCTCAGCAGTCTCCGCGAGTGTTGACTGATCGGGGCTGATGTTGACAGGGAACTCCGTTTGGTTTGGCTCACACTGTTTCTCACAGAACATGTTCATAATGCTCCTTTAGACTGCACCTTCACCTCTAACACACAAGTGGGTTGTTCTTGTGGCGGATGTGTGCTGGGAATTTATTTAAAAAACTAGTTGCAAAGTATCAGAGTTTTTTCAGCTTCGGTTTTATGATATTATACCTTATTTTGAATGTCAAGTAAGTGATCTTTATTTATATAGCGCCTACAGACCAGAGTCACAAAGCGCTTTACAATAAAATGTTAGCAGAATTAAGTACAAGTATATAAATAAGTGTCAATAAGTGATTAAAATAAATACTATCTGCCTCTAACTCCGTAAACTATACCAAAGGGAGGAGTTGAATTATTTTGAACTGTTGTAAAATACCTGCTGCAGCCACAACCATGTTTCACTTTAGAAACTGACAAAACTAATTAAGGAGCACTACTTTTGTTTTAAAATGCAGCTTTAAGTCATGGTGGTCCAATTACATTATACTAGTACAGGGCTGAGACAGAAGGGGCGGAGTTACACGTTAGTTACTTGGAAGTTCCCAATGTGGATAGATCTAAAAACAACTCCAGGTCTGTTTTTGATGGGGGACCATTCTTGAATAGTGTAACATATAAGCTGAATGTATAATATGTCTCCTTTAAATCAACATCTATTTTTTATGTATATATTGTTGATCAAATACAAATGTGTTTGTTTAGAGTAAATTCAAATGACCTGCATGCTTCAGTAAGTTTTGCTGTGAACATGCACATATACTTTTAATTCTGTTGAGGATGAGGTTGAGGACGTCTTACTCTGGGCACAAGAGTCAAATCAGACTAATCAGACAAAAAGTCACTAAAAGGTTGGCGATCTGGTTTCATAACAGCATAACATTTTTGTTTGGTCATGCTCGAGCCGATAAGCTCAAGTAACGTGTTTGACTGCAGTAACAAAGACACGCCTCCAGGGTAACCATGTTAGACACTTTACTGAGCTACATTATATTTTTGACCCAAATTTTAAAGTTGACGTACGTGCTGAGCAGCCAGTGAGGCTCAATTAAGGCCTAGGGGTGGAAATAGCAGACAGAGCAGGCTAAGACACAACTTCAGCTTTGGCAATAATCTTTTTTTACTCACTTAAGGCTGTGATAAGTCATTTTTAAAGACTTCTATTTTACCAATTGATAATTTATTTAAATGTACACCTTTAAAATGCTAAATTAATTTGCAATTAAACAATGTTGTATTTCTTCCTAAAATCTTTGCAAAGTACATCGCTTTTGATGGACAAATTTAGGAGTGTTTGGTTGAAACTGTGACAATTTTCTACTTCAAAAGCCTGAGCCGACAAGAAGTGAATCATCCGAAGACAAAAACAGGGCAATGCCAGAGCAGAGTGCTAACCACAACTAAAACACAGTCATCCACAGGCTCTCCCTGTATAATATCATAGTTTGGAAGGAGGGCTGTTTTAGGATGGTTGAAGTGAATTGGTTTAATGATGTGTCTGTGCTGTACAGTTAAGTCATAAGCCGGCAGTTTGTTGCCCACCTAAATGAACCATCACATGACAGATATCAGTGAGAGTGGGCAGAGAGAGAAAACAGAGCTGTAGCCTGTCTAAGATAGGACCAGGCCAGTAATGACAACAAACAACAATGAAAGGCAAGGTTGTATCTTAAAGCAGTTCTTAGCAGTGAGTGGGATGAATCTCTGGCAAGGGCAACACTGGTAAATGCAGATTTCTTTGATTTCTTTGGGACTATTGTGTTGACTGTATCTATAAGATTTTTTTACTGGCATAGTTTTTACTGACTGGTATTGAACAAAAAACATACTTAAAGATGAACATTGCTATGCATTTGCTCCTGCATTTTGAGTTCTTTCTTGTTTTTCACCTCATGACCAAATGTGGCTAAAATCAATGCAAAACTGCAATTTATAAACTTACAAAACACCACTAATGCAAAACATTATCATTGTCATTATTATTAGTAGTAATAGTAGTAGAAGTAGTATTTGTCATTGATTGCAACATTGATTGCTTCATCTTGACTAAAGTCAAATTCTGCTGAGTTTGCCCTGAATTTACTGTTGCTATGGTTCTCTTACTTTTAAGTGTGTTTGTCTCAACAGAAACACAAAGACACTTTGGGCTGAGAGCTGATTGGCTGAGTGAGGATGGTAATTTTCTTACAGAAAAGCTTATCTAAAGATGTGCCAAAGGCCAAAGAATATGCATTAATGTGAAAACCAAACTGTGTCTAGAGCAAAAGATTTTATAACATAGTTCCAATTTTTGTAGTATGAAGACGAGGCAGTATAGGCAGGCCCCCTAACTTCAGCCTCGGTGAAACTATATTGGTCTTTGAAGTCACTTGAAGATGGTATTTGAACGGATGGTGAAACTGAAGCATCTAATAGATATAAAAAGCTGAGTTGTGAGTTTGGGATCACAACTTGAGGTAGCGAACGTTGTGTGTTTGGTTCTAAGTGGATTCTGTCACACTGCTCCCACACAAACCCAGCGTCTAACCAAATGTACACAGTAAAGCAAACATTCTCCAGCGCCCTGCAATCATCCAGGGAGAGACACTACTAATAGTAAGACAAACAAGAGCAGCAGAGACGAGCCTTTGTCACACTGTTTACAGAATCACTGAGAATGCAAGAATGCAATGGTCTAAAAATACAACCTCTAAGCACAGAGAGCATATAGAATTAAGGTGTCTAAATGTAGCTTAGATCAACAGTTTGAAATGTTACTTCTTCTACAGCTTCTGGGGGAAATGAGCTTGATTGCAGAGTAAAACATGTTTTTCCAAGATTTTTTTGGCAAATAAGATACTAATATTAAACATGTGGCACTTCCTAACATACAACAAATAACATTACAAGAAAATCCAAATAGAGAGATACTTTGTTTATGGCTTATTACACTTTTTGTACAACATTTCCTCAAGTTACTTGAGATTTGTTTTATCATGTGTCTAATTGTCTATTTATCAGCATTAGTGCTACCAACTTACATTAGACTAGCCAGCAAGCCATGGCATTAACATAAAAATAAACTTTACTTTTAATTGATCTTTGATAGGTTGATAGCTAGATAGAAAGAGAAACAGACACAACTTTTGGAGAAAAAAGTAAAAATGGTAAAAAGATAACAAAATGATTTTAAAATATATATGGTCTTTACACATTTCTATATAAAATGTGCAAATAACTTGATCTCAGCTGAATAATATTTTAGATTTGCATTGGTTAAGCCAGTGCCCTTAAGCCATTTTAGCCAATATGAATAACGGTTACCTTGAAACGCAGCCACATTTCTGGAGATGAGAAATTTCAGACTGGAACTCGACATCTGCAGCAGATTTTGGATGTCCCGTTTCGCAGCCAGCTGGTATCTCTCCTCCATCTTTTTAGTGCAGCAGGTCAGATTTTTGGATGTGCAAACTTGAAGATCTGAACCTATTTGAAAAAAACATGTGTTGTTAACATTATAGACAGTTTTAGATCAAAAACACTGAGCATAATGCCTTGACCCATATTTGCTGAAAGACAAGCTAAGTGGATTTGAAACTCCAAAGCGCCTTGAAGTATGAATAACACAAGCTGTCCCATTGCATTTTCTGCCTTGTCCATAAAGAGAAAGACCTCACATATTCAGAAAAGAAAACTTGAAGTTATGAGTAAGTAAGTAATGTTTATTTATATAGCGCATTTTACAGACCACGGTCACCCAAAGCGCTTTACAATGTTCAGAGTTCAGCTATTGTTCAAACCATTCCACACACGTTGATGATGGAAGAAAGTAGCCAAACACACTGGCGCATCAAAGCCCCCAATCAACACCATCCATTCACTCTCTCATTTAGATTCACAGTTTTTAGTGGTAGGGGAAACCGGAGCACCCCGAGGAAACCTACGCAGACACGAACAGTTGTTATAAAAGGAGCACTTAAACAAGATACATGTATATAATATGTATACAGCTGAAACATAAAATCAGGATTAGATAAAATGCTATAATTCTAGCTTAATGTGTTATCAGTCATGGTGTGGATCTTTTGAGGATTTTTTTTCTGTACTATTGCCTGTCTTGTGTCCTTTTACCGATGCAGAAGAGTCGGGTGATGATGGACAGGATAGACATTGCACATGCACCCCTTATTAGTATAGAAAATTGGAAGAGAATAGGACTCCTAAAGCATTTATCAAAATATTAACATATATTTTAAATAGGGTTTTTTTTTACTTCTGCAGTTCTCTAAGAGTAGAAAAATGATCACCTTTGTAGATTCATATTGGTAATGACCTGACACTACTGTTATTGGATATACAGTGGTTCTATGGTTCTATGATATCGGTTAAGTATGAATACGATCAAAATGGCCCTATTATTTCACAGAGGTCTCATGGGTTCACTTAGAATAAATGCAATCTTGTGCTGAGAGGGGGTAGATAAAAACATGGTGAGGCGTTCTGTCTGAAAGCCTCTGACAAGTCGAGGCAGAGCGTTCAAGAGCAGCGTGGTTCATTGAAGAGATTTAGCCCCAGTGATGGTACAAGCAGAGGAATTCAAAAGGCTTCAGTTAACATTAAGCTGCCACTTTCAAACTACCAAACTGCAGAATGGTTATTTTCTGATGGAGTCACCTGCTCGTGGGTCTGGGCCATAAGGAAAGAAATAACCATGATTTTAGGTATGACTTAAAGAGATACACAAGGATGAGCCAAATCACAAATAAACACAGAACTCTTTAGAAGCTCAAAAAATATGTTTTAGCCTACAGCTGCACACAAAAATATATGTATCTTGAATATGATTTGATATATTTCTTACTCTAAAATATTGTGATATTGAAACTATTATGCCACTGATTCCAGTTCAATTCCGGTACAGCGCAATAATCAATTTCATTCAGTTTGTTTCTATCACATGCATGTATATTTTAGCCTCTGCCACAACTTTAAATCAGCACTGCCAATCATCTGTGACTCACAGGGCTGTACTTACAAGTGTGCAAAAGATTACATTTTTTCCAATAAAATTAAGACAGACAGGGATTATTTATTATGAAAAGACACCCTGGCATTATGTCTAGTAGAATCTGCTTTGGCAAACACAATCTCCAAATAAAGAATAAATAAACATTCCCACATTATTAAAATTACCTTGTGCAGCTTTAATTCTTTACAAAGTCGTATAGCATCTTAATCTGTTGGTGCAGATAAGGCTATGTCCTGTTTTGACCCAAATTTGCTTGGCTCTTCTTATCTGACAGACAATGCAGAAAAGCTATGGGTGTATTTTTAAAACGTTCACTTAACTAGATAAGAAAACCGGATAAGGAAATTGTGCTGATAGGTCTTTCTGTTTTGATTTTCCAACAGAAAATCACCAGTTTTACATTTTACTATGGCATCTTTTTTTAAACCCAGGTTAGGAGTAGGTTAGAGAAATGCACAGAAGACACAAAATAAAATATTTCACTCATGCTAAATCTAATGAAATAATATCCTGATTGAAAGGTTTGGCAATGTCAGGTGTCCCTTGAGAGGCATACATCTTACAGGATTTTAAGTATGAAAGTTTGTTTATGGGCATATAGGACAAGTGTTCAAAATGTTAGTGTGTTAAATGTTAAGAATAAATATATTTCCACTGAACATGATCAAGTGACAACCACAGAATATTATTGGTACTAACCAGTTGAAATATTCATTCAGCATAATATAAAACTCTTGTGGAGGTGTTTATATTACGAAGTGACGTCTGCGTAACTAACTCGTGTTTATACAGTCAAACATAATTTGCCAGATCATAGTAATCCTGGCACGAGTTTGAGTTCACAACCAATCCAGGAGCCTAGTCTGCATTGGAGTAAATTCTGCAAGTGGGATAACGTACAGGAAACAGTATAAATGCATATGTATTACGGGTGAATTGAAATTCACTTTGTCCATGTGTTGTCATTTTAATTTCAAGCCGAGCATTTGAGCGTCAATAGAACAAGACATCTTTAGGAAACAAACGCCTACCTGTCCTGGGACTTTGCGGTAACAACTGACTCGGTCCAATTTGCCTGAGCAGAAAAACTTTACGGACTTCTTCACATTTGTTCGCGTCCCCAAATACAGATCCACAGAAACATGCCAGAGCGAAGAAACAGTAGGTCCACAGTACATCCATTTTCAGCCAGAAGCGCGTACAAGTCCAACGGGAATGTTTAAATCTGTAGTGGTGTCATTTGCTCAGGTGGACTCCGTGCACATCCCAGTTCAGGACCCAGATCTGACGCGGACCATGTGGAACTTGACGGGCACTGGTCCCGTATCGTCGCTCAGTCACTGCTGTAGGCCACGGAGAGAAGTGTGCGCTCTTCCAGGCGGCATGTTGCGTTGGCCAAGTTTGTGGTTGGACCGAAGACAGAGGCGGAACCGCGAAGTACCTGCGCGCATCAGGCCACTGGACAGATGCGCGGCCAGCACAAGGCGATGGCGCCATCTAGTGGATACAGTGTAAAAGGCAAACATCCCTGAATTGATTTGAAAAGTTATTTGTTGTATAACATTTGCCTCACTTGTTCATTGAGACTGATTAAATTCATTTCTGCACCAGTATTTTGCAAGCACATTACATACATCTAGAAGTATGCCAGGCTTCTTAAGTTCATGTGCCAGTAGCTATTAAAACGCAAGCCTCACATACTTTCATAAGCATCTGTCGTACCATATTGCACAAGCCTTTTTAAGAGTGTGGATGCAGACCACAACTGAAATGACTCAATTCTTCAAACATAATTAATAAAACAGACAATAGTTGCATATTTTCAACTTTATTTTATTTCATGGAGACTTCACATTTTCAAACTTCAAGTCAAAACAAGTGTTCACAACAAGAGAAGCATTTGTTTGCTCCATCCCTTCACAGGCCGGGACAAGTGCAATACCAGGAGGAACACAGCATTGCTACCAATCCCCACCTGTACAGAGAAGGACACTCAGGATAACAAACATTACCAGATACCTCACATTAAAGGATGGTGGTTCAATAACATAATCAGTTTTGCATGGATTTGCACAGCAACATTAAGTTAAAGCTGAAAGCAAACCAGCAAAACTCACCAGGTTATGATTCTGATTTTCGAACTGGAGAGATTGCATTGTCAGATGTGTTTAGTTAGAAGTACTTTAAGTGCTTATATTGCAGTAGATTGAGAACACTACCTGCACTATAAGCACTTTAGTACTGCTGAAACTTCAGTTCACTGGACAACTCAAATCCTGGATGCATAAATATTAAAAGAAAAATACCTTGAACAGCCAATCTAACAGGAGTAGAGCAAGCAGGCCACCATCAGTTTTGCATAGATTTGCACAACTCATCTATTCTTGTAGTGCAACTATGCAAAACTAGCAGAGAACTGCAAGAAATTTAGGCCCAATTGGAATCAATTTTGTGTGGTGGCGCATATTACAGCCCCTTATGCCAGAAGGAGCACTTAGGGCAGTAGGTGCTAGTCTATGTCACTATCTGCACTAGATGCACCTTAGCACAAAGACAGTACTTGTCACTTTGTTATACTGAACACCAGTGTCAGGGTATTGCTTTAAGTGCCTCCACTGCAGTAGGATTGACATAGTACTACCTGCACTGTAAGCACTTTGACAATACACAAGACTCAACAGCATTAACCACTTCATCAGGAGTTTAATCCTCCAGAAAGTCTTCCAGTCGACAGGGGCTCTGCAACGAAAATAGAAAATCATTATGGGCAAATTTTTAAAAACTTATAGTTGACAGGAACGTCGGTTATAGTTTGAAATGTTCGAAACTGCATATTTACAGTGCAAGAACAAGATGTTATGATTTACGTCGGCAGCACGAGGTCAGTAGAAAACATGAATGAGGCTGTGGCCCGCGTTCCTTCGTGCACAGTGCGCCTGCGCAGAGCCGCTGTTGTTCACCCCTCCCCCACCGTCTTTAACATGGCGCCTCGAAGTGCGCCAACCTTAGCACATATTACTTTAAACTTACCAGGTTGTCTACTATGGTGATATCTAACAGCGCACCCTGTGCTTCCACTTGGTTCAAAAGTGAAGACACATTGTGATATTTTGAAGTCCTTCAAAACGAGCCTAATTTCTGAGTACGGGCACGGGCTAGCGACAAACAGCAGGTAGCTTGGCTGCTGTGGCTAACTTTAGCTTCATGAAAACATAGCTAATCTTGTGGTACATAAAACAGCCTGATGTACACAAAAATGTAGTCACCAACTACCGAGCGACTACAATCCTTCACATTACGAAAGAGTTGCGGGGATTGTTACCACTAGAGTTTATCAACATGGACGAGCGGCATGGCCGTTCATTTAATACACCCCATAATACAATTATGATTCACATACGCGCCGCCGAGCTTTGTCCCCACGTAGTAATGGGGTTCAGAATGCGCCTTCTCGTAGTGTTTGATGTCCACTGTTGGGTGTAAAGTTTGAGGCTAGGCTAACTGCACTAGCTCGCTAAATGGCGGGGCCTAGCACTGCCCCATGTGCTGCTGCTTTGTTCTGGGGGCACTTTAACTCACACACCACTGCACTCGAGGTAGCGCCGCAAATTAACCGTGTTGACAAATTCACTTCAGAACAGGGGAAGTGTTCAAGGCTATAAAGTTAAGTGCGATCCAAAATAAACATTGTTTTAGAACTAGTTGCTGGAGCGCAGCCTGAAAGCTTTGGACAGCGTTTCAAATCTCCCTCATTCCCTCAATGGTGGATGCCATGCGCCTCACGCTGCACTGTTTTTATCGCAAGCGCATTATTTTCTGCTCGTATATGTATAGTGTCGTAGCTGTACAGTTAGGACAAGTGTAAACAAGACAAAAACATCCGCAGCAGTAATTCAAAGCGCAATTACAGACTTCAAATAACCCCAGCCCCGACTTGCTTGGCGATAAACATGCGCTCGGCAGACACTCACCAGCCGAAATCCACCATCTTCGCTCACTTGCTTGGGCTGCAGTCTTGTCTCCTACCGACAAAAGAGAAATAAATACGCAACTATCTGCTAAACTTTGCTCTCGTCACTTGAAGGAAAGGCACAAAGTAAGATCCGAGTCGAGGCGAGCCCATTTGAAGCCAGCTGCGCCTGTTTAAAATGATCAGGAGCTTAGTAAAGTGGCGCGAAGGAAGAGACCAGTCGGTAACCATGTGGGTGAATGAAGGGCGGCTCCCACTGAACGTAAATATCTAGCTACAACCCCCAACTCCCCCTATTAGCATACATAAACTACGGTACTTCCGACCCGCATCTTCAGCCAAACAGCTTCCCCTTCCTTTCCCCGGGAAAGAAGAGGCATCCACCCGCAGAGCCCGGGCCACAGCCGCGTGTTTACCGGAGGCGACATTAGTACGAACATAACGGGAAGAGGCTTAGTCATACTCTTAATGCACGGTCAGGTTTACTTTGAGCAAAGAAAGATCACGAGACTTCAAGGAATCGCATATTCCTTGGGAGCATGGAGAGATGGGAACATTAACTCTATCATAAATAAAAGTATAGTCTATTTACCTGTTGCTATATCACACTAATTAACCTTCATTTATGAATAGGCTTTGTTTATATGTTTGCCTTTTATAGTGTATTTCTAAACTTCAAAATGCACTGTGTGTTTAAAGGATTGCTTATATTATTTCAATACATTCAATTATTCACATTTTTCTCAATTTACAATTCACTGACTGCATTTTTCACAGTAGTGACACAAAAGGAAGAATGATTATGGTCTATTGTAAAACTGATATTTTGAAGAAAATACATTGAATAACATGTATGTACAGTACACGGCCCTAATTAGTTTCCAATTAGATCCGCAGGAAATGACCATTAAAACAAAAATGGATTGATGCCTGTTTTAGAGTCTATAACTGCATTTTATGTTTGTATATATCTTTAAACACAATACAGTGATGTACAGTTGACAGATTGTGTTTACACTATGAGCCAGACATAAACAATGGTTAATGTTCAGCATTCGGTTTCTAACAAATTAATAATGCTGGAGATATTTTAATCCAACTAAAAGAATGTTAGATAATATTATCCATCAATTATTATCTATCATAATTTTATCGTCAAAATAGCCCTATATCTACAACGTTCCTTGGTTATCTATGCATGTAATCCACTTTTTTTACTATTGCCCTTTTTGCTATATCACCTTTTCAGCTCTACAGTTGTAGCATCAATAGACATCATTTCAAGAATTTATTTCTGTGGAATACATAACACTTTCACCTCACTGCTGTTTCCAAGACAAAGACAAATGCTTTCACTGCATTTGTCCAGGGGTCTAATAACAGAACACCCTGCATGTAGTCAAATTCATTACCATGCACACGCCAGCCAGAATCAATATATGGATTTGATTGAAGACTTGGAAAAAATGCACCAGCGTGGCCTAATCATTTAAACATTTAGTCTATTGATCAAATGGAGGAGGTGGTTTTTAAATTCAGTATTTCCTCAAACGTTATTATGATTGGTTGCTGGGTCATAGTCTTAATATATAAATTTGCCCTGACAGCCTTAATTTATGATTGCTGGCCAGTAGAGGGAACTAGAAACTACATAGTGAACAGTCTATGTCTCAGTTGTTTTTAAATATTTGAGGAAGCTGTGAACTTCCCCATCTGTGCAATTTGTGTTGTTTCAAAATACCATGCTGCACTGAAAGCTACAGTCCACCTCCCCCTGATCAATAGCTCACATTATTAATTATTTACAGTTTTTTCTGCTAGCTGATGCTGCTCTTTTTGCCCGCTAAAACAATTTTTTTTAACTTATTTGCAGAGCGATGACCATAGAAGTAGTGTCCAGCAGAAGTGTATGCTCCCCCCTTTTCTCTGAGGAGTTGTTCGGTGGGACTATATGTGAGCGCTCAGTCATGACCCCCAGCCCCCAAAAACACAAAGCCAGTGCTAGTTCCTCTGCATACTGAAGTGAGATGGGGGGTGGGTGCGCAGGAGCCAGTGGTCTTCCCATCGTCCCATGGGGTCAGATAAAAGCTCACAGCCCTCTCCGTCAGAACTGCCCCCTTGCCTCAGTATACGGCTCATTCAACACAACAAAACGATGCGTGCAGGTACAACACTGCACAATTTTATGGTTTCTGCTTGGTCAAAAAACATATCAAGTTAAGTTTTCTTGTCTATCTGTTTTTTTATTTACTGTAAGTCCTTGTGTGAGATTCAAGACATCCCCTTTAGCATGTCAGTGTGTAAGTTGCTCTTTTTAGGTGCTATGATAAAAGATTGTGAGTATTTCATAGGTGATCCTGGATTTGACTATGTAAAAATCTACAATGTAAACAATTTTTGATTTCGTACTGAAGACTTAGTCCATCCATAAGGAGTTTTTTGTAGAAAGTCGATGTGAAGCAGAATAAATGTATAGTCTTCAAACTTACTTAGAGATAGAAGACTACTAAAATCAATAACATGAATAAAAGAAACAAATTTGGAAAATGTTTGTCGGAAGCCAGGTTGGTGTATAGAATGTGTCTTGGATTCAGGAGCGCATGTAGTATTTCTGCTTAAACCCTTACTTGTACTGCCAATAGAGTTGTTACATAAAGAGGGTCACACATAATAAGCCCTTTTGGCAGCACTTGTGTTAACCAAATCTTTGTTTATGATCAAAAACATCCCGTCGAACTATACCACTTGTGCCATTTTTTTTAATGGATCCCTATCATTAGTCCCCTCCCACCCAGGGGCCATGAGCCTGGGGGCCTGTTTTGTCCTGCCTGACCACCATTGTCTCCCTTTGACCTTAGGGTCAACCCAACGCACCTCAGCGACCACCACCATTCACCCGCAGACCTCCAAATTGGACAAAACATCTCCAAATACGCACGGGAGGAGGGACACATTAGTTCACACAGACATGTTCTTCTTTTTGGCTGGACAAAAGGATTCATTTGGGTTCATTGTTTTCAACAGTTTCACGTCAAACATGGCAATTCACCATGAGGCCACTGATATCTATTTTAAAAATGTGTTTCAAAATAGTTAGATAAATGAAGAGGTTTCAAGCTGGTATGGAACAAGCCTGTTGAAAGCAATGCCAAAAAGGTTGTGCCAGGAGGAGCCTCTTGTGTAAAATTGTAACTGATCCTCTGACCACAAACAAATCAAATATATAAAAAATATAAAAAAATAGTTCTTAGCTTTGAATCCCTAGTTTCACAAATATATTTTTTTTCATTGTCACATCAGATCAGCATTTAGATCAGCATATTCTTGCTTAGCCAATCAGCCCAAAGCCTCAAATAGGGGCTCACTCACAGTATGCAAATGAGATAGAAAGCACTTTCCAATAACTCTTACTGTCAGGATAAACAAACAGATGTTTAGTACCCCGACTGTCCCAGCTTGGATATGATTTATTTAGTATTTGGCACTATTAAAATGTTTTAATTCGTGTTTTATTCTATAGCTATTCAATAAAGTGAAGCTCCAATTAGTTTATTTCTTTGCAAGTGAAAATATGAAGGGAAAAACAAAATGGTCATGATTCATATTACATACAGTACTTTGTTTGGTAATAGAATTGTATGAGAATGAAATCTTTTTATCTTACTCATATTTTGTATATTGTTGTTTCTGAAGCAGTGATTCTGTCAAATATCTAAAACCAACACCAATCTATTTTTTTTTATAATCCTGTTTTCTCACTGATTTAAAGTACTTTGTATTTCTCAAGAATGTTCACACAAAGCACCACCCAAGACAACAATTCCAAGATCTACCTTATCTAAACTAGGATTAAAATTAAACCTGGTTCAACCTAGGGCTAAATCAGGTTCAATGGGGTCACACTTTCCCCATACCATTTCAGGTAAAATAAATAATAATAAAATTAATAAAACAATACATCAAAATTCAACAAATAATTTTACTGCAGATTAAATACCACAGTTTCAGAAACATATGATTTGTTGCATGTATTTTTTTATCTTGGGTTAGAGGGAAAAAAGAAAAAGTGCACATATACACAAAATTGTAAGTTTTATGCTTGTGAGATTCATTGAAATAGTTTTGAAGTGTTCCCAGATGCAGATGTGAAAGAGCATGAAATATGTTCATAAACGCATCAACACACGAGAGATGAGACATATAAGAGCCGACTGCTGCACATTTGAGCCAAAAGATTTACCTTTTAAAACCCTACATTTGACTCCCACTGATGTCCGCTGTCGTTGTGTCCTTGGCAAGACACTTAACCTCTGGGAACACCTGATGCCACAGTGGGGCGGCTGCGGCTGTAAAGTGCCAAGCAGCAAAAGAAGCAGAGGTGGCAAGTAACTAAGTATTTTTTAAGTACTAAGTTGTTTTTGCATGGTATAAGTGCTTGACTTTACTACTTATTTTTCTGACAACCTTTTACTTTTACTCCTTACGTTTCAACCCAAATACAAGTACCTTCAACTCCTTACAATTCAAAATGGCTATAGTTACATATACCAGTTTCAGTTCACCCCCTGTGGGATCTCTTCTTCTTGTTTTTCAACTTGGCATACAACACAAAATGACATCAAATTAGTAATTCGCCAGGATTCTAAGTTCACATAACCATTGGCATACTTTTTCCATATTCTTTGTCATTATGAAACATTTAATTAAGTGTTTCAAAGGCAAGTTTTAAATGGTTAAAATAAATATATTGTTCGTCAAATATTAAACAAAAATGCATTATACTTAGGGGAATGATTTCAATATAGCAATATCTACACTTTTACTTGCGTACCAAAGACTAGTGATTTTGCCAATTCTGAAAAGAAGTGTAGGATTATTGGGATGATGAAAATGTTTAAGATGGCCATAATATGACTCATGTATGTTCAGTCAGTGTGCCCTGAAAGTGCAATTGTCAAAGGGTTTTCCATTTCTGTACAATTGGTTGTGCAAATTAATGTATAAAATAAAATAAATATGTTTGTAGTATCTGTATTTTCCAGGTGTGTATGATAACAGAATGGCAGTCTTTTTCCCAGGAGCACCATTAGGAGAGTAATGGAGAGAGGGTCCTCGGAGTAAAGGCTAATTTCACGCATCCAGTACCCCAAAATTCACATTGTTTTACATGAGACAACAAACAAAATGATGCAATGAACACACAAGTAACAGTCCACAGAGTTTCAATTTCTTCATAAATACTCATCAGAAAAGTGAGTCTTTTTAGCTGCGTTCACTGATCTGCATCCAGTGGAAACATGATTTACAACCTGGGTTTAACTTTCAGTTCTTCATTTTTGTTTTCGCTTTTCAAATTTCTCAATCACTTCTGTAGGTTTAGGAAAGCACATTCAAATGAATATTGTAGAAAAAATATCAGTCAATCGAAAACTGGGGTAACTAACTTTTAAATGACTAAAAATGTAAACATTTGATCAAATCCATCTAACTGGTTTCTCACTTTCACAACAACACTCGTCTCTGTCACATCTTAAGACCAGCTTTTTTCAGATAGAAAAGTGAAAAAGAGAGGACCACCCTTACTCAGCCAGGGGCAGCACTTAGGCTTCATGTGTTCTCCCTGTCTGTATAGGTTTCCTCCGGGTGCTCCGGTTTCTCTGTTGTGGTCTCACTTGTTCTCAATGTTTTCATTGTTTCATTTATGGAGGGAAAAGTTAGGTACCCCATCTTTTATTAGGAATTTGATTAAGTCAAAGTCATAATATGTTTCACTCCAAAGTCTAGGTGAACACACCAGAGGAGGTATTTTGCAGAATATGTTTGTATTCTCATCTGAATGAGAAAAATAACTCATGCTTGAAATATTCTATAGATATAGCTTTATAATATTTGTGGGCGGAAACCTAACACATGGCATTTAAGACTAAGGGGTAAATTTATCAATCCAGGTGCTAAACTGTGTTTGGTAAAGGAAATGCATCATAAATCCGTTTTCTCAATGTTAAGGAGTGCTAATCATATCTGAACACACCATGAGCAATATCCCTGATATATGTAAATAAATAAAATGTATTTATATATACAATATTTTTTCCACAATATTGTAATCTATTTAAATCAGCTTCTATGGCCATAGACAGTGCGTTACCGAAAAGGTTTACGTATAAATTACAAAACTGAAAGTCACCTGAGTGTCTGAATGATTGTTTTTGCGGATTAGTCGCCTTCAGACTTTGTAGTAAATATTAGTGGGAGTTTGTGGGGCAATCTCTTGGACGATGTAGACCGGTGGGCCATAGTCGCTGCTCAGGCGCTCAAAATGTCGACAAATCATGCTGTCGGACGCCCTGAGAGGGAAGACCACATCACTGCGGTCTGACCCCATGTCACTGCTGATACTGTCCCGTTTGGGCACAGTCAAAGTGTTGAGAGAGACAGAAGCGGACTGAGCTCTGTTTGGGACGCAGTGACCACGTCGCCTTCTCCACACAATCACAAACAAAACGATGAAGATCACCAGAAGGAGGAGCACCCCGCCAGAGACCAGCCACACAATCAGGTCTGGATCAAGGCCATCAGCGCCACTGGGGCTGGTTTGTCCTGCTTCTGAGGCAAAGTCTGTCATTGCAAAGAGAGAGGGGAAAACAAGCACAGGACAATAAATTAGGACACAGAAGTTTGAATTATTTTTGGTTATTTACAGCTGCTGCTTAATTTTCTGCAATAAATCTGCAGCAAAATTACAAAGAAAAGCATCAAATATTACTTAACATTTATTTATACAAAACAGAGCCAAGTTTACTTCTATGTAGTAAAGGCTTGTATCACTTTTTCATGACTGCAGATTATAGCTGTGTAAAACCAAAGGGCAGATCCGGGGCACCAGCAGAAAACCACTCCCTGAGGTCTGAGATGGTTCATCTGCTACTAATTTAGTATTTTGTCGCATAACTTCTTATTTGGCTTGTTGTAGAAATTCTATTGTACTATGGTCAGCGAGAATGCCAATGATAACAGCATGTCACAGGTTCTAAGGTATATCACTATACAGAAGACATCACCATAGCATTACTTTGAAACGTGTTTTATTCAATAAGATGCTAAATTAATTTGCTAATTATGAGGACTAAGAAATTCTTTGTTTGTCCCATAGAAAATAAGATAAGTTCAACTCAATTCAATTTATTGTTGTATAGCCCTCAGTCCTAACAGTAATTTTCTTGGAGGACTTTAGCAAACTGTTGAATTCGCCAACACAGATCAAAGAATCAAACCGTTCAAACACAATAAATAAAAGACACATGGAGCCATTGGTCTATAAGGGGCAGATTACCAATGTCCATGAATGTTGTTGAATGTCGAGTGTCCAGGGTCATCAGTGGTGATGATCCAGGACACTCGACATTCAAGTCCTTGGACCCTCCTGAAATGGCAAGGAAACATTTTAATTAAAAAAAACCCAGTGGGAAAACGTGAATAAGTGAATCAAGTATAGCACAGCTCTTAAAGCCCTTTAAAGAAACAACAACATAAACATTTTGTCATGATAATGTGCATGTTTTTTCTCATGTTTCTACTTCAATGACCTCTTAGTTTAACCCAAGTTATGTCACATCTTGGGTGACTTTGATCAAAATTCAAATCAAATCATAATCGTCCACAGAGAACCATTAACACAAGATATTACTTTTTCCCATATCGCCCAGCCCTTATTTAATCTGAAATATGACTTTGTCTAACACTGCATTTGCCATGTTTCTGCTCTCTAAAATTACAAATTACACATTTGCTTCATGACCAAAATAAATGCCTTCTTAATTCAACTGAGAAAATAGATACAAGACTTCTATTGGAACTTTAAAGGCCAATAGAAATCATGGGACATAAACATCAATACAGTTTATCAAATCCAACTGGGAGTCAAAAGCGTGTATGGTTTTTACAATAACAAATCTGGAAGGCCCGCTCTCCAATCAAGATTTTGTTTTAAGAATAATGCTGTGAATAACACTAAAAGCAGGGATAATATCAGTCATCTTGTGACTTCATTGGTCAGGCTGCAGCACAGACTGTCAGTGTATGATGTGAGGCCTAGAGCTCCATGTCCAGTTACAGCCTGGTCAGTGGGTAACACTGGACAGTGTGATGTGATCTACTGTGACATAGTGATAAAAAAGTGTTGTGATCAGATATGACAGTCAGTCAGTTGGAGGCAAAACATCTGCAGGAAAAAATATGGAAGCTGCAAGTGACATAATACATGCAGCAGATACAGATACATGCAGCAGACTAGAATCACTCAAAAAAAGGTGAAAAGTAAAAGTGCACTTTATTCATCCCCGTAGGGCAATTTATCTGCTGCATTTGACCCATCCTGATGCCACTAGCGCGTCTATCTCCATATGTTGATGCTCGGCTTGGTCAGGACCGGAACTGGTGTGGAATGTACATGTTTTTAGTGGTAGGGGAAATTGGAGCACCTGAAGGAAACCTATGTAGGCACAGGGAGAACATGCAAGCTCCACTCATAAAGGCCCTGTTTTGACCAGCAAGAGTGCTAACCACTCAGCCACCGTGCCGCCCAAGAGAGCAAACCATTATTACTAATCTTTATACTGCTATTAATTTAGACTTTTTCAAAGTTTTCAGGAAACGTAGGGACAAATTGTTTGCTGCTACTATGAAGTACAAGCTCATGCCATTAACTGACATATAAACTGTTCACCCCTTAGGCAGACTTTCTTGAGCTCTTGAATCCAGGAAATGTTCTATACAGCAACCTGGCTTTCTGTAAATATTTCCCTACTCTTTTCATACATATATATATTTTAGTATTTGATTTGAATGATTTTAGTAGTCCTCAATCTCTTACAAAGTTTCAAGACAACACCTTTTGTTCATTTCACATAAACATTCTGAAAAAGAACACATTCACATTCATTTTTTCAATACATTATATGATTAAAATGGTGGTTGGTTTCATAAAAAAACTTTCTTTCTTTTAATTCACTTTGATTGAATGACAAATCTCGATCCCTTTTTAAAAATACAAACACATTTATCATTGTTTGTAAGAAGCTGCCCTAAAGACTGTTTTCCCATGCTCTGCAGCAACAGTGAGACTAAAGTAATCTGTGTTGATACTCTACAAACATATTACCCTTGTCCTTGCGGGGGTCTGGCTCCTTGGCCTTGGACTTTGGTTGCGTGGGAGGGAATCTGGTGGGAGACTCCTGAAGTGTGGACAGTGAGTCTGAAGAATCTGAAAAAACAATTCAACAAAACAGATTAGAATGGAGCTGCGAAGAGGGCGGAGCTTCATGACCTGAGTAACGATGACCACAAGACGTACATTTATATTTTAAGTAGGTTTTTGAAAATTTGTAAACTGACGAATGTTGAACACTATATGCTGAATTTTGATTATGTTAGCATTTACCAGGGTAGCCTCCCCCAAAATTTTGTGATTGATATAATTAAATAACTTCTTGTTCTTGAGTAGAAAGAGAAAGAAGATTTGCAGAAGTCACAGTATTTGTAATTATATCATCACACATTTTTATCCCGGAAAGAGAAGATTTCTTTTTGAATCAGTATTGGAACTTTTTCTGTATGCTGTCTGGAAAATTGCCTCAATCACAAACTTTTCCACCAAAACATAAATGAAAGTAGGTAATGTATTCAGTGGTTTTTAAGTTGGGGAAAACACAGAATCATTTCTGAACATATAAAAGATCAAGTGAAACATCAAAATGACTTTTCAGAAAATGTCATAGAACAAAAACAATAAATAATAGTATATGTCGAGTGTATGTCACCTAACGCATATGTTAATGAACTTTGGTTACAGAACTTACAGTAACTAAGTAAAAGGTCAATTCAAAAACTGTAGTCACATGTTAAAGCTCGATCTTGTCAGATCTCAAAAGCTAAGCAGGGGAGGGACAGGTTGGTACTGTGATGAGAGACCAGGGGGAACACCAGATGTCAAGGGTGACACCTGTAAAGTATTGTTGTTCTTAGGAAACACTTCATCCACATTGCCTCGTATGAGTCTGGTGTGTGTGAATGGTTGGTGGTGGTTGGTGGGGCTCATAGTGTAAGTTGGCATCCCAGCCTCCATCAGTCTGCCAAAATGCAGCTGTGGGTTCAATAATGGTTTATTACCATTGCGTACAAAGTGAATGAATATAGTATGAAGCATCCAAAAAAGTGCTCCATCAAAATCACCATTTCCATATTCTTTCTTTATGCAATTCAATTCAACTGATTTTTTATATCCTAAAAACACAACAGTTAACTCTGAGGACTTTAGTTGTCGATTCGCCAACACAGATCAGAGAATCAAATAGTTCAAACACATGAATGAAACAATGATCTACATGGAGCTGTTGATCCATAAGGGGCAGATGACCATATTGTCCGGATCATACCATTTAGAAAACTTCAAAGTAACATAATACATTAAAAACACTAAATTAGATGAATGTGAAGCCAATGGATACTTACATAATACTCATATAATTAATTCATTCGCAGGTATTTTTAATTAATGTATTTGAAGTTATATGGAACATAATCATTATTTCAATAAACAGCATATGTAACCTCAAACATTCACTGCCTTAAAATTTTTACCACAGGCAGAGTGTCAGAGCGGAGTCTTACTTATTCATGTTTCCTCTCATTTAAATATTGGTTTACAGCAGTAACGTTCGTAAACATAGCAGGCAAACAGCCGCACACTTTCAAGATCAGAACTAAAACACACAAAATGCTGATTTATCATCTCGAAGTCAAACTCCCTAAATTATGTATATCAACACTTTCCCCTATCACAGGAATAAAATTACCGCATGAGTTTTTCGATCAGTAGTACACGGGGAATATTGAGCCTAATCTTAATGACCAGTGTTGTTGGTCATTAAGATTAGGCTCTGTGTCCAGTGTACTGCAGCCATAATCTGATTGATGAGCTTTAAACGTGCATATGATTGGAAACGCACATTTTGATGCGTAAAAGGTGAAGCTTATTGACCTCGTCCAATCCACTGATCACATGAGGGATAATACGGCCTTTAAGCTGCCAGCGGTTTGCATTAGAAGAACAAGATCAACTTCTCAACGTGTCCTCGAATGAATCCCAGAGGCCATGAGATAAATGGATAGAAATGTGTCAGGGAAGGGCCTCGGACTTCAACATCAGCTTGAACTAATGTCAACTCACTGTACTATAAGTTAGATTACATTGGAAGACAAGTATGGGGAGTGCGTGATTGTAAATAGCATAGCATTTACAACCACAGGGGAAATCCTGTCAAATGTCATTCAAAAGTCCATTTACTTCTGTAATTCAACTTACAATTTAAAGCTAATATGACTCATTACTTGCAAAATGAGATATAGCAAAACTTTATTTGTTATAATATTGATCCTTTCGCAGCTTGTAAAAACTCCAAATAAAACATCAACATGGACAAAAGCTGTTAAAGTCAAATAAGCATTTTAGGTTCCCTTTTAATGTGTCAAAACTACTGGGTTCAAACATTTTCTACATGCATCCCTGAATTCAGAAGTTACTAGAATATTTACAAATAAACTGATGTGGAAATATTCACATTTGGTTGCCATTATTTTCCATTATTTTCAGCACTTTGAGTTGCCTTGTGTATGAATTGTGCTATACAAATAAACTTGCCTTGTCTATTTATTTAAAACACGATTTAAGAGTTAAATTAGCTTTCTGCAGGACAAAAAAACCCAAAAAAATGTAGTTTGCATTCTAATAGTGCGCTTGAATTATACAGTGTGCATCTTGATTTGAGAGTGGGATTGAACATAAAAATCTTATTCCGTCTTCATTTTTGTTTTTATTCAAAAGTCTAAGTTGTTTGTTTACTCTTTTACACTTGTTCCACTGGGAAAACGTATTCAAGACAATTTAAATCATGACAAAGTCTCAATATTATCTGCTAAACCTGAATGAAAACATCTCAAGAAAAGTATATATTCACAATTAATAGGTTCTTCTGTAAAAACGGACTTACTCTGACCAACTCTGAGCACCAACTTCATTGACTGGGTCCGGCACACTCCCCCATTGATGTTGTCCAGTCCTTGTAGAGAACCTGTGGAGGTGGCTGACCAAGAAAAGATAACAAATGTTTAATAATTTATAACGAGACAACTTTATTTTTGTGCACAATTTAAGCCCAGTTACCAAACATTGCATCACACGAGGATACAACAAGTTTTAAGAAAAAAGTGCAACCTCAAGTGGACAAGCAATCTTACATCTATGTTCAACTCTGCATCACCCCTGTCATCACCAGCGACTTGCAATTAGGTCACATAGCAACATCTCAGAGAAGCTTCGTTGCCATGAAAACTCGCATCAAATCGGCCTGATGCTGTACAAGGCTTGAGTGATTTGGGGCATGTAAGCCGCTGGAATCACACTGGACACAAGCACAGCCCTTCTCTGGACGCGCCTCCGTATCACACGCATCAGTTGCCACTAAGACGGAACACACACACAAAAAAAACAAGGCCAAACGACTGATGCTGAAGTGAAGGGACAGGGTGCGAAGGAGCTAAAGACGACCGGAAAAAAGCCTCGGTGCTTGTGATTTGAATGTATTCCAACTTGTGGCAGCTTGTTGGACACATAATTCAATGAAGGCCGTCAAAGTTGAAACACCGAGGGATGGCCAACAAACTATTCTTTTCACTTATAACCAATCATCAGTTTTGACTCAAATTCATTCCAAGCTGGGGTAACTAACTTTTTCTTCTTTTTCTCCACAAAAACAAACAAGAACATACACAACACACAGACGTGCCCAGGACAGCAGACAAAAACAAACCAAACATACAATCTCAAATGTTATGGGATATTGTTAACGGTGCTGGTCCACATAACGAGGGAGCTCCCCTTTTCATTTAATTAATAATGTATTTTTTTTTTGTCCCAATCGAAAAGTAATTTAAATGTAAAATGTCAGACCACAACATACTGTATGATTTTGTTTTATCTTTTCTTGCATTATTTGACGTTTTTGGCTGAGGGTGGTTCTCTCTTTTTCAGGCTCAGAGGGAGAAAATTACATGCATGTGAATATTAGTGCAAAACTAAACTGTATTGAGAACTAGGATCTAGTTAGAGCGACTATTATACGTAGTTATGGGTTTTGTGGTTTGAAAGTACCCCAGCTTTTTTTCTTTGTAACTACATTTTCTTTCAAAGTCTGAGCTGTTGACGTCTTTGATTTTTTTTTTTTTTACTAATGGAACTCAAGTGTATTGAATCTTGATTTCATGAATATTCTTCTCAGTGGGTGGCAGAGTGGTCATTAGAACAAAGAAAATGATTTGTCAACAATTTGTTCAGCCCCAATTAGGACCCATATAATGCCCAGTGTGTGACAGCAAAATTTCATGATTAAGATAGATCGCGCTGCGTTTTTCAAATGTTCTGTAACATCTTATCGTTCTTATGGCGCCGCTTCGTTACCGCTTCATGAATGAAAGACATGAGAGACTCACATGTGATGTAGTAGTCCTTCCCTTTGAGAAACTCCAGGCCCCAGAGGTTTGGGCTGAACTCCTGAAACTTGAAGGTGAACTTGACGTCTTTGTGCGGTTTATCACAGTTCAATAAAGGAGTGTCATTCTTCTCAATTATACATTTCTCCATCTGCCTGCGGGACACCAGGTAGACCCGGTAAAACTCCTCCTGCTCCCCTGGCTCTGATCTGGGGCATACGATGTCCATCTTGTCCCCAATTTGAGGGTAGAGGGTCAGACCAAGTCCACGAACAAACCTGAGAAAATGGACAGAATTATTCAAAAGAACATTAGACAAATCATCCAGTCTTGATTTGCAACGTCTGATTAAGGCCAAACTGAAAGCATTAGATCCAATTCAGTTTGTGAGAGCCTCAAAGATTTTGAAGAAAATCCTCTTATCACAGTAGAGTGATCAGATAGACGTGGAAGTAGGACTAATCTGGAAATGTATGTTATAAAATGAGAAGGACCAATGCTCAAAAAGGGCATTTATAGTTATAATAAATTGTAGAATAGTTCAAGCAGATTTACTTTTCAGAAATCCTTTGAAGATTCCCTATTATTTGTTGCACCTGTTTGTTGTCACTTACTTGGTGTTGGAACTGCTCCAGTGAAGGGACTCCAGAGTGATCGCGCCACAGGAGCAGACCAGAGCCAGAACCAAGACTGTCCCCATCCCAGGAGCCAGTGCGAGCCCCTTATGGATCATGAGGAGGAGCGCGCTAAAGTCCGGTGCCTCTGCATCTTTCCTCGGACTCCGGGCGCACCGCGACAGTGCGCATGGAGAGGGATCCAAGAGAAGTCTTCCCGCAGCTGCGCGCAGATGAAATGTTCCACATTGTGCGAAATTGGCCAGAAAATCATTCCTGTGTCGAAAGCCATGTATTGAGGGTAGAGTGAGATAGTGATAGAGATAGTGAAGAGTATTTGAGCAGTCAGCTGACTGCTCGGTCCGCCCTTCCACGGGACACTTTTGTGAGGGGGTGGGGTGGGGGAGTCTGAGGAATTCTGTAAACTACTGTGTTTCCCAACTAGAGGTACGTGGACACCAGGGTGGGGTGCGTACTCATTTATCAGCTGTAGGAAATGTATATTCAAACTACATTTTTAATAGCTTCAAAATGTTTAAGAAGAAACCCAGCATGACATAACTATTATTATTTTTATCATGTATATAAACAATTTCATTAGTCTGGCAATTTATTAGAAATTGTCGTTTTTTCCCATCATTTGGGATTAATGAATGATCATGCTTTGTGAAATCCATCACTAATCCTTCATTTTGAGGGAATTTATGGTGAAATGGCTTAACAGATAAATGTGGTCACAAAAAGGAGCATCTCTCATTGTGAAGTTATGGTACTATTCATGTTTTCTATACAGTTTAAAAACAAGAGACAAATCAAAGGTTAACATCCATTTTTTTTATTTCTGCTAAACATACACAAATATTTGTTCACAAAAATAGATATTTTTTTCATCATCAACATCATTTATTCCCATTAAAATAGTGACAATGATGTTTGTTCTGTTTCCCCCAGCTGTGGCCTCTATATGCAGCAGACATTTTTTCTGATGGCATCTAACCGCAGTGAGAATCAGCCACAGAAACAGACCATAATAACAGCAATAGTGTACAGAGAAATATGTGAGAAAATCCCTCATTCTGACTCAAACACAATTTATCAACTCTCACAACAAACCTTTCTTATGAAATAAATAAATACAAAATGTTTCTTTCGAGTAGAGATCTCCCATAAAGAGGCTAATGCTTCACATGGCAGGAGTTTAGAGAGAACAGCCCCTATCACGTTTAGCATTAACCTCTTCATGAGACAGTCACCATCTGCACCTCATCCCCATTTCAATTGGACTGTGTCACTCATCCCATTGTTCTGCCTCCCATCACGGTATATCCACTCCACTCCTGCAAAACATAGAAAAACAAGATCATTAGAACACATAAGGAATATATCAGGGGTTTCCATTAAATCAATTGAAAGTGCTCAAAGTGATTATTTCAATGTTCATAATGGACATTCAAATTACCTTTAGATTTAAAATTATTATTTAATCATAACCCAGAATAATTCAGATATTTTTTATTTTATCAATACATACAGTTGATTCAGTAAAAAAGACAGTACTATAGAGTTCAAAAGAAGTAATACAACTGTACTACAGTACAGTTGTACAGTAAGTGTACAGTAAGTGTACTACAACTACATTAATGTAATAGTTTTCAACATTGAAGTTAAACATTTAATATAGCAGAGTAAATAGCTAAAGTACAATTTTCTATCTCAAAAACATACAATGTAATCCCTCTGATCCAGGCTCTCTGATTAGGCAACATGGACATTTCATTGAGCACCGATATCATTTCCTACATTCAAAAGTAATAGGCTTGGTTTGAGAGCCACACAGGATGTCACTGCTGAGTCTATAAGTATATCAAAGCTATAGTTCAGGAAATGTGCATGTGTGTTATGGTGTCGATAGTATATTTGTGGCTTCACTCACCTGTGTCTCCAAGCACTTCCTCCTGCTGCTGTCTCTCATTCACAAGTAAACAGCGACACATGTCTTATATAGCGACTCAAGAGGGTGACTCATGAAAAAATCCCTTTTAACAGAATGAGTAAAGCTAAAGACATCACGCTGCTCGTTTGCAGTAAGATGCGTTTATCTCTATGTAAATGCAGCCCACATAGAGGTCTAAGTATCAAGCGTTTGAACTGAGCTGGGCTTTTTAAACAAACGTCAAAGTGATGAAGGAGTAGGCAGAAGACTGACATCATGAAACTAGGTGGATTTTACACATGAATGCAGCTGTTAGATAAATATATGTTAAAAGAGAGGGAATTTGTTTTATTATAACTATTTCCATTATAATATAATTAAAGCTGGAATACCAACATTTGTTTTTTTCATCAGATTCAGAATAAGAATTATTTGTATATTGCCTTTATAAGTAACAGGAAGTCACAAACTAGGAATTTGCTTTGGCTCAAGGTGCAGACAAGTTATGAAAGTAAAATATAGATATACGGCAAGCATTGAAAATGAATTAAAATCTCTACAATATACTTACACATTGTAGACATTTAGCAGAGCAGTAAAGGGACAGTAGTATAAGGTGACGGTCATGAAGGGCAGGGGTCAGTGACAAGTTATGAAGTGTTTATGCATGAGTCCGACCGCAAAAAGGAAGAAACTGTGAGAGGGATATAGGCGCTGATACAACCAGCCCGCCCTTGAGTTCGGGCGACATTCAGATCCTGCAGCGATGGAAGGCTGCTGCTGAGGAATTGCACATGTCTTAACAGAAAGATTCTTATAAGAAAAAAATTCGATCACAACATGTCGTCTTCATCTTATTAGAAAACATGATATATTTTGCATACTTGGCTGATCAGCACTGATTGGCTGAGTGAGGGTGGCGCTCTCTTTTAACATTTTCTGTCTGAACAAGCTGATCTAAAAAAGTGACAGGAGTAAACAAAAAATGTGTGAAAAATAGGGCTAGAATGGAACTGTTTTGAGAGCGAAGTAGTTAAACATCTTGTATTATTAGGTGGGGGGACAGGAGGGTCCATAGCAAACTAACATCTATGCTGGACCATGACTGTCACCCCCTGCAGGACACTCTCTCTGCTCTGGAGAGCAGCTTCAGTGACAGAGTAATTCACCCTCGTTGTGTGAAGGAGAGGTTCCGCAGGTCTTTCCTTCCTGCTGTTGTCAGACTGTACAACAAACAATAAGGACTAATGAAAACTGCCAACTTAATTCCACGTGTCATTCTCGCATTGTTGCAATATCCTTATCTTATACCAGAATGTGCAATATACAGTTGGAAACATACTGCTGCTAATGTACAGTTGTAAACATACTGCTGCCAATGTACAGTTGTAAACATATGCCGTTAATGTACAGATGTATACATACTGCTGCTAATGTACAGATGTATACATACTGCTGCTAATGTACAGATGTATACATATGCCGCTAATGTACAGTTGTAAACATACTGCTGCTAATGTACAGATGTATACATACTGCTGCTAATGTACAGATGTATACATATGCCGCTAATGTACAGTTGTAAACATACTGCTGCTAATGTACAGATGTATACATACTGCTGCTAATGTACAGATGTATACATATGCTGCTAATGTGCAGTTGTAAACATACTGCTGCTAATGTACAGATGTAAACATACTGCTGCTAATGTACAGATGTATACATACTGCTGCTAATGTGGAAGACCACCATAGACAGAAAGAGAGAGGGAGGCAGACATGTAGAGGGATACACAGTACTTTATACTTGCCTCTTATTTTTTTTAATTTTTACATCTATTATATTTTCAAGATAGAGATATTATACTTAGTATTGATGCTAGAGTTAGATTGTTTTTATTTTGATTAGTACAGCTATTGTTCACTTAACGTGTGCCGTGTGCTCCTCTTTCAAACTGTTCTATAACCTGTGATGCAACACTGAAAGATAGATTTGATAGACCAAGTTAGATTTGGTTGTGAGATTTGTAAGTTAGGTACCCCAGCTTCAAGGTTGTAAAGCGCACCTTAACTTGTTGCTCACCAAAGTTGTTTCACATACATTGTTCCTTGGTTTGTCTAGTTTTAAACAGAATTTATGATTGAATGATAGTAAATAAATAAAAAATCCCGTGTTTTTGTGAACATGGGAAATTCACAATTAGACAGTGATGATGTATTGTCTCAGATTAAAGTAAAAGAGGCTCCTTCTCATCAGGACACCTGGGCAGGGGCCATGATAAATATGTAGTCTACAAATGAGTAGAACTCTCAGGGTGTGGCACAAAAAGGCTTCTGAGAAAGACCTCCTGTTACTTAAATGAGTCTGCCCTGCCCCTCTATCCAAACTGCCTGACAGCACAGATCGTAGCCTGGATTCCAGTTTGCAACATTTGGGAAAAGACACTGTACTTCCTCTAATATAGTTTTTACAATGTATCGATTCCATGTTTGCCTTCTCTATCAGCCACAATCTCCACAACCAAAGCAGCAACAAACCATTTCATAAGAAGCTGAACTGTGACATCACATGAACGAAAGGATTTGAGAACATGAAGAGGCGGGGAAGCAGAGCAGACTGAGGGACCCCCCCTAAACTCAGGAAATTCAATATAAAATGCAATATAATCAACCTCAAAGAGTTTCCCCTTTTTGTAAAATGTGTCAGTATAGATTTATCAAGATGAGTAAGGAAATTAAATCCACCTAATCAAACACTGTAAAGAATCTCCCCAGTCAAGTTTCATAATATATTTCATAAGCATTATCAGTGTCATGTGATATTAAGTCATTATACAAGTCTTAAAAGGACTATCATTGAAATTTTAATTACAAATAAGGATTAGAGTATATTTATTGCTGTACCATATTCTCATAATCTCACCTACTTTCGATTTACTCTCAATTAGTCACGAGAAACAAAACAAAACCGCAAGGGCCATGTTTTTTGGTCAGTGCGTGGGCATTTAGGAGCAGACCTAAGCCTTCCCTGTCAAGCCAAACAGATCTGGTTTCTGTAAATTAGGTCGCATCGCATCTCTGCAGTGGTTGAGTGAAAGTCAAGTAAAATATCGTAATGACATCACTGAAAAAGGAAAATGTACCGGACATACAGTCAAGTCCGTAAATATTGCACTGACACAGT